CAGCAAGCTGTCGTCTGAGATGCTATCCAAGGTAGTAGGGTGTCTCAGTGAACCACCCAACCTTCCAGCCAGTCCTCCATCTAGCTAGCAGTATCATCAGAGCTTGGCAGCTGAAGAAAAAAAGATTTTGTTTGATGTATCTGTAAAGCAAGGCAGGAGGGTCATTGCTGAATCTGCTGCATGACCCATCCTGTCTAGGTCCTGTGAATCCACTCAGACCAAAGAGTGACTTTTCCCTTCAGCTGCCTATGTCACGCCATTACGCTTCTCAGAGGGGTGTTTTGGGACATGAGAATCTCAGATTATCTTCTGCTTGTCTCAGCTTTTAAGACTGCCCCAGCAGCTGTAGTACCACCTGCTTTTCACCCTACTGTTTTCATCTCCCTGCTGGCTGAAAGGTACACTGCTCAGTATCAGCCTCTTCCTAGGGCAATTTCAGTAAGGGAAAGGTATCCCTATGAAATTAATGTCTCAACATCCAAAGAAGTATTCTTTATCCTCTCCATTTGCCTGCTGCTCTCCTGAGAAAGCTTCCAAAAGCCTTCAAGCTTGTTTGTGTGTTCAGCAGAGGCTGAATGTGTCCCTTATTCCTTATGGTTTTTTGAAGATTTTTTTTTTGCCTGTTGATTTTCACTTTTTTCTTTTCTTTTTTTAATTCTCCATTTTTCCACTTAGAGGGAAAAATTATTTATTGCATTGAGATGCGCTAATTAAAGCCATTTTCTGGTATTTGGTTACTGAAGTGTTTGATGTCTCTCTGACAAGACCATGAAATGCACAGTGTGTCTACAGGGACAGAATTTGCTGAACACGGTGCTTTGTAAATGAGGGGACACAGTGTCGCAGCAGCTCATGAATATGAAACGCCCATGATGCTACCTCAGTGGACTTGAGAACACAGATGAATCCTGTCATGTGCTAAATGAGACCAATTTCTTTCACTTAACTTCATCTTCAATCAGACCTTCTTCCATTTGCCTGTTTAAAATTCCCCAAACGTGATGCAGAAGGTAACAGCATTCAGTAAAACAAAGTTTTGCAGCAGCAGAGATATTGTAATTATCTCATTTTTACAATTTATGAGCAAGCAACTTAAACTAAAGTTAGTTTCATTCTTGTGCCTGCTTAGTGGCAGGGGACTGCCAGTTTCAGCAGCCACTGCCCTTTTTGTTCTCTGGATATGGCAGTGGATGGGAAGAGAAGACAGCTCCATCCCCACTGCAGAAGTGCCCATTCTGAACTGGCACTGGAAATACGCATCCAGCTGGTGGAAGTTAATCAGATGAAGCAAGATGGAGATGTTCTTTTGGGTGTTTGGATCTTGGGTGCGAGGCTTAGGTGACTTAAAGCAGCCCGGTGAGACTTGGCAGCCACCGTACTGAACAACTGTAGGCTGGACTTGGGATGTGGTTTCTAGGAACAGCTCTGATTTATTGCCTGACCTTGAAAAAATTCTGTCTGTCTCTAACAAAGCATTGAGTTCTGTGGGGCTAGGACCAGATCTCACTGTGATGAGAGCCTGCAGGTGTTGCTACTAAACCAAAAATAAGCTCCTAGGAGGGGAAGTGCAACTTGACAACTTGCAGGTGTAGCTGGGCAGTAGTTAGTAGGCATGCCTCCATCTCCTGCTGTCTGTGTGGCTGTCTGTGGTTGTCATCAGTAACCTCTTTGCTAACGGGCAGAAGAGGTGATGGTCACTGCACATTCCTTGTCACGAGCACAGAACCCTGCTTTGTGTGTCACTTTAAAAACTGCTATTCCTTGTTTATTGTTTGGCTACCCAGATGTAGCCTTTCCCCTTTGTTTCTTCGTTCTTCTGCTCGCATGCTTCTGCCTCATGTTGGCAGCATCTTGTCATAATTTAGCTATGGAACTCTAATAGTTTAAGACATCGTTTGATCTAGCTATTGTAATAAAAATACTGCTCTTAATTATGCTTTGGACTTGGATGTTCTAAGGCATTCAGTTTGATGGAACATATTACAACTCTCCTGTTAGCCAACACTTGTGCTGGTGTCTCCTATCCTAACCTATGTGTGGATGCACTCATTTTGATTTCATTCTTTGATAGTTTGCACCTGCTTGCTATTATATGAGGGATGGAGGGGAATCTGCAGTGGTGTAATCCAGCATTTGATGCTCACTCAGTATTTCATATCTCTATCATGTGCAGTTTTGAAACTAGTGTCTTGTTTATAGGCTGAAAAATTCATGAGAAAGGCTTTGTTTTGATTTTGTTCCCAGTCATTTTGAGCAATAAAGGGAAGTTTCACCCGATCCTCTTTACTGTCGCTGTAGGCACTGAGCTTTATGTTATCTCCTCTATCATGGGCATACCACGTCTTCTGCTGGTGATGAAGTACCTGGCACATGTGTCCACCTCTTCTACTCTCTCTTCAGCTAAAATGAAATTGAGATACTCTCTCAGGGGGACTTGAGTGCTGCTTTTAGGAGCGTTCATTCTGGCAGTTTTATCTGTCATATGAAATGGAAATTTGGAGGAGTTCTGTCTGGGGAAGATCACTTGCAGGAGGCTGCATAGATAGCAGTAGAAGTTTGTAAGGTAGTTTTGTTGGAAAAGCCTAAAACCACTTCTGTATGAGTGCTGCACTATGAGACTGGGAGAACATGGACCTGGAACATTTCTGTATGTATTAATGTTATATCAGAGTCATCTTACTGCAGCTAATGGCAGTATTAAAAGTAAAGCATATGCCTGTATTCTTGCAGCACTGCAGCTCGTGTGGTTCCGTTCCCTACAGTAGGCATAGTGCCATGACTTAGCTGTGTTGTTAGAGCCTGTTGAAAAAGAAAGATGTACATGCTAAGAAGAGCAAATAGTGGGCAGGAGCCTGGGCAAGTGGAAGGTTGGCTACTCAGTGATGAAGGTGAAAAAGGAGACACTTTGTGAACTGTAAGAAGAGAGGAAGGAGAGGGATTGTGGAGAGATAGCGCTGTGGATATTGTCAGAGGGTAGGAGAAGTTATGAGTAAAACAAGGACCCAAATATTTCAGGCCTGATTTGCCGTTGATAGCAACTGGCCTGGGGAGCTTTTTTTTTTTAAATTCCTTGCAACATTTATGTTCTGTTTCCTGAGTCTCTAACAGTGCTAAGGAGCATTGCGTGTGCCTAGGAATGGACAAAATCATTGGCACTTTTCAGTGAGAACATTCATGCAGTTCTCTTTGCTGGAGGGGCTGGCAGGAGCCCCCAGAGCATTTCCACGAGTTCCGTCTGAAATATTTTCAAAGTGCCTATAAAAATATTGGAGCCTTTAATTTCTTTTCGAAGGAATTTCTATGCGATTGCTTTCATGATGGTAATACAGAGTAGAGGAAGCACTCAAGAAGGTGTTCAGGAATCTCTCCATGGAATTCAATGGCAATGAGATAAAATCAGCACTGGCAAATACAGAACTCTTTGGAAACCTGCATAAAAGGAAGATGCAGCTCAGAGCACTAAGTTTATGGTTTTCTCTAGTGCAAAAAGAAATAAACAGAAGCAAAAGTCTGGCAGGGTACCTCTGTGTGGTGCTTTGTTCCTCCTGTTGTACAGCCTCCACAGTCTGTATCCTCCTTGGTCTTTGTTATGTACAGGGACTTTCTCCCACATTGTCACTGAGCAATTCTCTCCACAGGTCAGTCTCTGTCCACAGAGATGCTGTTAGCCTGTGACTGCATTTTATTACAAGCTTTACCTTGAGCTGGGAGCCCCTGCATAGAAGAGCCAGTGGGACAGCAGGTTCTCCTGGCTCTTGTCCCTAAACGCAGAGGGGGGACAGATATATCCCAAAGGCATGGTAACACACCGGTGAGGTGTTTCTTGCCCTCTAAGGGACGTCCTGGGGGCCTGTTGCTGCAGTTTTCCTTTAAATGTCTTTGAGAAGTTTGCCTTAGTCAGAGAGCTGCTTTGCAGGCACCTGTTCCTCAGGCAGCTGGGGAGCTCGAAGGCGCAGCTCTGCTGAGATCATCCAAGCTGTCACCTCCGCTTGCCTTGGCCTGGCTCTCTCTGCAGCCGCTGTCCCGCTCAGCCCTCCGCCAGGCAGCCAATTAGTGAGAAATCCCACTGTGTGGCCAGCGCCGAACGACTGCCACACTGAGGCCTGTGCTGACCTGTGCCCTCCCGCAGCTGGGCCAGGGCTGCTCTTGCCCCAGCAGCCAGTGAGCCCCAGGGATGCTGAGGGGATGCTGGGCAGAGAAGGCAGCTGAGAGCTTGAGGAGCTCTGACAGGCGGCCGGACAAGGGGCTCTTCAGCAAAACCCTGCCCGGAGCCTTGGCCGCCACAGGTGGGGATGTCTCTACAGCTCCTGAATATTCATCTCAGCCTGGGCTGCAAAGCTGGGCAAAGTCAGGCCCGGCTGCCTGCTGTGCTGTTGGCAGAGGCAGGAGCAGCCTGCCTGCTCCAGCACTAGAGGGCCAGCTCTGATCCCACCTTGTGCTTGTGAAACTTCTTCCCAGAGCCAACCACTGGCATCTCCACCATCTGAGTGCACAGCATCTCTCAGGTTCTAGCGGGATGCAGTGCGCAGCCAGTTTTTCCTGCTCACCTCTGTTTTCTTTTTTTTTTTTTTTTCCCTCTAAGTACCCTTTTTAGGTGGAATAACCATAATCAACATGCTGGGAATATCTAGTGACACCTATCAGCCATTCCAGGTTCACTCTGGAAGACACAAAAAGATTTATGACGTTACAGCTTGGCGCATCCTCCCTAGTCTTAGTGTCAGATGGACCACCAGCACTTCCTCCTTCAGCCACTCGGAAGGTTACAGCCTCTGCCCAGTCTGCAAGGAGCCAGCACCTCCTTTAGCATGCAGATTCATTCACAAGGCTTCTGCCACTTTATGCTCCACACCTCATTTATAGCAGATTCTATGTGGCTGAGCTGAGCTGAGTAATTGACAACGTATCTCATAGGAAGCAAATTCTTACCAATCTTCAGATGATGGCCAGATTCTTTCAGCTAAAAGGTTGTCTTCAAACGCTGTTTTCTCTTATTGCAGATATTCCTGTGATCCCTGACTTAGAGGAAGTCCAGGAGGAAGATCTGGCCATGCAGGTGGCAGCCCCACCCAGGTAAGAGAGCTCTTGAGGCTCACATTGGCTGTGTGAAATGTGTGGTGAAATTAAACTCCATCTTATCTCATGTCCTGTGGATGTCAGTGGCAGTGTCATTCAGCAGGAGTTGATGCGCTGCATTGTGACAGTGGGGCTCCAGGCTGAACAGTGCAAACTTGTTTCCTATTGCACAGAGATAGCAATTAATGCATTTTCTCTCTGTATACACAAAAACTACATTAGAGCAACGCTTTTGATGTTGCAAAATCAAACTCTGAAAAGTGAGGTGTTGCTTGATGTAAGGTTGCCTGTGTGACAAATGCGTCCGATACACATGTATTATCACACACACTTTGACTGCACTCTGCTTTGCCCTCCACAGGATATCCTTTTCACTCAAGGGCTTAGTTAATTTGCAAAGCACAATATGGTCTGTAGGTGTATCACAGTAGTCTTGGGATTAGCTCATGGGAGAGTAGTACGTTTTAAAAATTGAAAGTTAAGTTTTGAAGTTAATTTTCTTGTTACTTCTAAGTCTTCTCTCCTGTTGGATCTATTTTGAAGATCACAGAGTAAGATTTCTGTTCACCTTTGGATGACCATAGATGCCTCTCTTGCAAGTCGTAACTAAATAGCTGTTAATAAAAATAAATGACATGTCATAGCAGTAAATGAAAAAAGATTTTGTCTCTCACCAGGGTTTGTTTTTTTGCTTTCTCTCTCTTATATAATCCCATCTGTTCTTCCTGTATCAATAGTCACTCTGCAATAGAAGATAAATAATTTTCATGCGCATGCATAGAAGATAAATTAATACGAATCTTCCCTATAGTACTACGTAACATGCAAAAGAAAGTATTGCAGGACAGTATATTGCTTCCTACCCCTGCTCATCTTTGGAGTCTGCATTTTAAGAAATTGCATTTGATAGCTGAAATTTAGCTGAGAGATGGAAATCATAAAGTCTTCACTGTTCTATAGTTTGCACTGCGGGACTCTTAGAGTGTGATTTACTTCCCAGATAGGAGTGGCATTTTGGCTGTTACATGCTGGATGTATCTGTATCTGGGCTGTTTGAATGTTCATTGCCTTCCTGTTTTCTTTCTGGCCCTTGCATGTGGCTTATGAATCTTCTGTTTGGCATGCCAGCTTCTCTGAAGGAGTCCCTGTTTGCTCCATATCTTATTTTAACACAAGTGATCAGTCTGGCTCTCAGACGTCAGTGCCTTTTAATTTGCTGAATGAGATGTTCTTCTGTTCTTGGACAACCATCTCGATATCCTCATCACCAGTGTAGATACTTGAGGTGGGTGTCCCCACGCTACTGTTCAAGCCACTGTTCGTCTCATCTGATGTGCTTCCACACTCATCAGGGGTGTATTTTGCACCTTTCTGTTTGCAGTGTGCAGGTGAACCGAGTGTTGACCTACCATGACTTGGACAAAGATCTTATGAAGTACGCTGCCTTTCAGACTCTGGTAGGTGGATGTTGGTGTGGAGTGACCGGTGTAAGTTCCCTTCCTTCCAGTTTTCCATTTTCCTCTGTGATACTTAGCTGCATAAAATACATTGCCCTGTCATCCAAGCACCTTCCAGTCTGCCTGCAAGTGTTTTCCTCTCTGCAGAGCGCTTTTCAGGCTTGTGAGTGTCTGTAAATGTAGTATGTATAGTGCCTCTTGTTATATGAGGAGGTACCTGCTGCTGTCCTAAAGAAGGTGCGTGTCATGTATGGGACACAATGTTATATCTGTATCTCTAGCAACATCCTCTCTGGTGAAATGATGGTGTCTGCTTTCTCTGTGTCTGTAAGACTGTGATTGTGTGTATTCTTAGGATGGAGAGGTTGACCTGAAGCTTCTCACCAAAGTCTTGGCTCCAGAACATGAACTACGGGAGGTGAGTTTTTCTGGAAACGCCAGTGAATTAAAAGCTTCTTATGTCTCAGACTGTACTTAGAAACTAAGCTTTTGTTGGGATGGAAGAAGGAGACTTGAGAAGGAGCCTATGAAGAGGAGCTTGTTTTCAAGCTGATGGAGGTCTGAATTCCCCAGCAGATTATTTTAAAAGTTTGTAGGTATTTCTGTGTGTGAGATCATGGCATTGCTGTGACTGGCTTCCTTCAGTTTGAAAGAGCTAGTGAAGGGCCTTGTACTGTCACAGATCCCTGCAGAAACTGCTGCAGTGTGTAGTCTTTTGGTAACCACCATGGGCTCCTGATGGTTCTGCACTGTGCTACAGAGGAACAAAAAAAGCATTTACGGTTAGGGCAGGGGGCTGTTCTAAAGCAAGGCAGAAGAACCTCAGTACAAATGTATAAGCAGTACCTCAGGACTTGAAACAAAGGATTTCTACAGCCCAGAATTGCAGGTGCTTCAGTAGAAGGGTAGCAGATTTTTATGTCTCCTTATGCTCTTCTTGAGAAGTGTGGGCTTTACTGAATTTGGGAACATGATTAATTCTGCCAATCTTTAAATTGTAACACGGATTCACATTCCGTTCTCTCTAGGTTTCCTATCCTAGTCTACGAAATACATGCCTTCCTCTCTGTCAGGGTCATCATTCAGAGAACTTTGGGAGTTATCAGTTAAATTTTCAGCATGTTTGTCTTTTTCCTCTTGATAGGACGATGTCTGCTGGGATTGGGACCATCTCTTCACAGAGGTATCCTCTGAACTAGTAACTGAGTGGGACGTGGGACAGTCTGAGAGAGAGGATCACCTCAGTGTCCCCTAGAGCACTGATACACCAGATATCTCCTTGTATACACATTCCCTGTAAATAATTTAGCACTTTAATTTTCTATTCGCTTGTTTGTATTTGAGAATATATTTCAGACATGGAAATAAATAGAGCTTGCTCTGTAGGAAAACTGGCTCAGGAGAAGTTTTGGATGTTTTATAGTAAGACTCTTCATTCTCAGAAGAGATTAAGAATTACAATAAATTACTTACTTGTGAACAGTCACTGTCACCTCACTGCAGCACCTTTACAGATAACTGCAATGGGCAGTCTTTCTTCAAGTTGTAGCCTCTCTGGGAGACTGTCTTACACAGTCAAACAATGGAGTGTGGTTTTCAGTGATGGCTATGAGAGAAGATAGGGTGGTACCGTTTGTTTGCCTAGGACATCTAAGTTATCATCTTCCCACAACATATGCCACCAGTTGTCAGGATGTCTGTTTTACATCTCATCTACCAGCTTCTGTCGTCCCTTGCTGGTTTAACATTTGCCCTGGGTCCTTACCTCTGTATTGACTCAGAGGAAGAACATCGCCTACTAAACTGCCAGTACTGCTTCTTACAGCACCTTTGCTTTGTTTTCCCTGGAGGGATCCCAGTCAAGGGCTGACCAAGCCTAATGCTGCTTAGCTTCTGCAGTCAGATGAGATCACATATTGAATGGAGTTAGCTCCAGGCAGTAGGTAGTTTGCACAGAAAATACTGCTCATTCCACACATGAAAAAAAGAAGCCTGCTGCTCTGAAACAAGCTAACTCCCTGGTGTGTTTCCTTGGAAGCAAGTAACCTGTTCTCATTGTCACCTAAAAAAAATCTGTTTAGCTGTTAATGCCCTATCCCCTTAGAGCTGTGGTCATTATTTGCAGGAAACAATAGTATTACTTCTAAGCCAGTATCCTTCAAAGCCTTGTCCCACTGGAGAACCTTGCTATATACTTTCTGAGGTGCAGTGCAGGTGCTGTGCAGAAGGCTTGTTACTGCTTTTCTTAGCTTGTTCCATAGGTCTCATGGAGCACTGCATTCTTTCTTCTGTACTGACAGAAGTCCAGGAGAAACAACTCAGTGTGAGCTCAGTACTCTGCAAAATTTCTGATCAGAGTTGATAGCAAAAAAAAGCCTACCAGCAAGAGAGAAGAAGCTGTCTGAACGAGATGCTATGTTTGTAAAATCAAGGAATCTCTCCTGTAACTGGAAAAGTAGATGAGATGGAAGCCTTGGGGCTAGCGTGTGGAGCATACCCCCTGAGGTCTTTTTCTGAGCAGAGAAGCCTGTTTTGGTGTGAACAGAAGCTTTCCAGCTTAGACCAATGTCTGTTTTTCTCTGACATCTGTGGAGCTTGGCCAAAGAGAATTTAGGATTCTTCCTACAGTCCAACAAAGAGAAAACAAATTCAGCAAACTAAAGTAGCTTGGTATATCAGACAATCTCAACAAGGCTGTGTGGGGAAAAGAATGGTAGAGTGGGAGAAGTTGGTTAGGCTTCAGGTTAGATTTGCATGGTGATCTTTGCACATCCCAAAGATCACAGAGAAAGCAGAGGCTCTCTTCTCTCAAATACAGTCTGTAGTTAGTTTAGTGTGAGTTCTCTCTGTTCTGCGTCAGCTGAGGCTCCTCTAAGCTGCTCGCCTGGTATCATGGTATTCAGTGCATGTCAGCCAGTGATCAGTGACCATAAAAGATGCCCCGCCTTGAGGCACAGGAGTGGATGAGCTATGAATCCAACTTCTCTGGTTGTCCAGCCTGAGGTTTGATCTGTGACTTGTGACATTATATGTTGAAGTTTATTTAGAAACTTAGTGAGGTGGCATTACTGAGAGGAAAGCCAGGCAGTACTTAGGATTGCGGCCTGCAGAATGTGGGTGGTTCAGGCTGTGCTCAGCCCATTGCTCGTCTTGAGCTGCATGCCATGCCAACAATCCTGCCTCTATCCAGGAGGGCAGAGCACTGCCTGCCTCTGAGGACTTCACTGATCTCCCTGGAGATCCTTGAAACAGAAGTGGGAGGGATATTGGATGCTCAGAGATCTTCCTGGGGATGGTGACAGGAGTGTGAAGGGCCTGGGGACGCCATTTTAGACAGGTGTGGGGAGGAGGGCACTTGATGTCACAGCAGGGTTTGTGGGAGGGCCAAGAGGAATGAAGAAGGTGAATGATTTGGAAACAGTATGTATAATGTTTGAAGGAACTGAGGACAGAGCAGGTGCTGATGGAGAGAAGGAAAGTTGAGGTGCTTTGATGTGTAGTCTGACCTGCTATGATACAGGCTGTGGCAGAGCTCAGTGAGATGTGGCTGAGCTTCACCTGTCTTTTCCCTGGTTAGTTACCTCAGCAGATAACTGCCCTTGTGGTTCAAAATCTGCTTTATTTCTCGGCTCTGTTTTTGTTTCATCTTCTGTTCCTTGCATCTGGCATGCTTTCACCTTCCCTGTTAAATCATGCTGTCAGATACTTCTACTTGCTCAGGCATTTATGTGCACCATGAACTAGTTGTATCTTTAATTTTCTTAAATAAATTTAATAGTGTGAGACTTGTTTCCACATCTTTCCCATTCCTTCCGCAGCTGGAGGAAGGAAGGTGAGCTGTCTGGCTCTCGGCCTTCCTCACCACCTGCCTGGTTGCGGTGCTGGGAAGTGTCTGAGCTGTGCCCTCTCGCTGTCAGGCCCTGGTGATGTCACATTGAAATCTGCTCCTGTAACTGTTCCTGCTGAAAAGAAACAGATGTAAGTGCCTTTGCTAACTCTTGTTGAGGAAGGCTGTATAGCAATCCTTTGAGGCATCTCAGTGTCCACAGTCACAGAGGGGTAAAGCGGTGTGTAATAGTGTGCCCTCAAGTTCCTAATCCAAATACAGTGTTTATAGACCTAGTGAGTGTTTTGTTCCCAGCCTTTTGTCTGAAACTAGTGGAGATCTTGTGTCCTGCTTGCTCCTTGTTCTGCTCTGTCCCTACATGGCAGAGGGAGAGCTGCAGACTTGTCAGTGTGTTGTCAGCAGCAGGGTTAGCACAGTGAGTTGCTCTGGGTGTCTGCAGAGGGCTCTGCTGGGGCTCAGGCTAGGTGAGCAGCTCTGCCCCAGAAAGCCCTTTGCAGGCTTAGGGCTCAGTGGTCTATTCAGGGCAAACTGTGAGCCTCATCACAGAATAAAAGAAATGCACAAATAAAAATGAATTCTAGCTCCTTGCTTATAATAACAGATACAATATTTATATTAAAGGAGATGCCTTTTTAGAGTACAGCTTGTTGGGGAAGTGAGAGGATTTTCAGGGCAGAGACTGCAGCTCTGGAAAAGCATGCAGAAAATAAAAGCTGCGTAAAAGCCAGGCCCATCAAGTTTCCACTGAGGAGCCTGCCTGCTGGCCGGGAAGCATTCAGAGGGGCTTTTTCACTCAGAGGATGGTGACACACTGGAACAGGCTCCCAAGGATGTTGTGGATGCCCCATCTCTGGAGGCATTCAAGGCCAGGCTGGATGTGGCTCTGGTCTAGTGGCTGGTGACCTTGCACACAGCAGGGGGGTTGAAACTAGATGATCATTGTGGTTCTTTTCAACCCAGGCCATTCCATGATTCTGTGATTCTGGGCTCTAAGTGTTTTGTTAAGTGTGGCAAAACGATGGGGGGAGGGGCTTTATGTTAATCAGCTGGAAAGGTGCTGCTGCTCCTCTCACCAGAGCATCTCAGGGACAGTGGAATTAATTCATGGCATATGCTCCCAGCAGCTGCTGCGCTGACCTGGAGTAGCGGCAGCCTGGGGCCCAGCTCCCGCTCCTCGCTTGGGCCTTGCTCCCTACCAGCCCTGCTGGGCACAGCCGCTGCTGCACCACCCCGGGCTGCAGCCTTCCTGGCTCTGGGAGGAAGAAATGCTGTAGGCCTGGAGGAAAGGAGATGCTTGGATAGAAAAGAGAGCAATCTGAGTAGAAAAAAATCCAGTTTGTCCAAAACAGCCCTGATTCCTTGTACAGTGTTCACTGTCCAGGCCCTCCTTCCTCAGCTGCTGTTCTGTGCTTGCTGTGAGGCACCTGCTGCTCATTCTCCATCCTTGTTTCCCACATTTGCAGAGCATCTCAGTAGATGGGTTGATCCTCTCCTCAGTGAGAGCACAGAAAAAGACTTTGCTGTTAGTAGATGTCACATGTCTGATGGCTCTCAGCAAGTAACTTTTCCAG